GGGGGGGGGGAGGCACGTAACGAGGAGTCAGGGCGAATGTATTGCGCTCCCATTTCTGCACCAGTACCCCTCCCCGTGCCTGAATTAATGAGTAGTTGTGACCAGCTGGGGGAGGGGAGAGGCGAGTGCAATGCAGATATAAACAGGGATGTCCCTGTGCAGAGTTCCCACTGCCAGGCACTCATCTCGGGTGCACACAGCTGTACCTCTCAGGCTGCTGAAAGCACTCCAAGGTAGACACATGGCCACAGGAGCTACCCCGCACAAACACCAGAATCCCGGTGCAAGAAGTGCATTTCAGTTTCTTTAGTGGGTGGGGGCAGAGCGAGATGGAGAGCTTGAAGGTGGGAATCCCAAATACGGGACCCAAGCAGCTGAAGGGACGGCCACCAATGGAGGAGGTGACGGGGCTAGGGAGGGGGTGTTAGGGGCTGGAGGAGGTAACAGAGATAGGGAGGGGGTACGGCCATGGAAGGATTTGAGTTTGAAGTTGATAAATTTGGAGTTAATGTTCTGCTGCTTCAGGAGTCGCTCATAGAGGACAGAATGATTCAAATCTCTCTCGGGGTTGGTTGGGGGTAGGGGAGAAGCGATCCTGGCTGGCTACCCTTTGTCTGAGATCAGGGAGAAATGACTACACATGGATTGTCCTCTTTTTGTGTTCTGTCCATCCCTTCCCTCCTGCCCCTCTCTACAGCCTTCACTCTCTGAGTGGGCACTTTTATGATGCGGAGTGGTCCTCCAGCACAGACCTGAGCTCTGCTAGGCCTGACTCTGACCCTTGTCCCTGAGCCAGGGGAGGCCTCTGAGGGCTCGGACTGACCCCGACACCGCCCCACCCCGGCCGTGTAAAAAATTCGCTTCCCGCCAAGGAGCAGGCGGTGTCTCTGGGTGCCTCCCTATGGGAGGAGTGGGGGGTGGGAGTCTCCCCATCTTGGGGCTCGCATTGCCCCTTCAGCTCAGTGGGAGGGGAAGGACATGGAAGGGTTGGGGGTCGGGTGGGGAAGCAGGGGGAGTGGCGACAGTGATTTTTGAAAGGGTGGGCACATGCGGGAAAATAAAATCATACAGTCTGTGGGGATGGGGAGAGCGTGGGGGTTGGAGTTTGTATGGAAACAACACAGAGAGCTGGCATGGTGTTGAGGGGCTGAATGGCCTCCCGCTGTGCCCTTAATAACTCGAGAACAAGACTCATTTAAGAAAAAAAGTTGTGCGCCGATTGTCATGCAGTGGGATCTTGCTGTGCACATGTAGGCATAGCTATATGTGGGTCTAAATGGTTGTGCGCGGGGAAGGGGCAGATTGGTTGCGGGAAAGAGGCCATTCAGCCCCTCTGGCTGGCCATACCTGTCGAAACAGCTCGTGAGGGGACTTCATCTCAACTCTCTTCAGGATAATCAGTCGGACTGTGTTCTTGATGACTTCTGTTGAGCCCCAGCCTCAAGTGGCTTAATGCTTTTTTTTAAACCCCTTTTCTTTTGAGGGTGTGTGTTTGTGGGAGGGGGGAGGTGGGGAGGATTTGTGATGCTCACCCTGTGAGGGGCTGCCCCCCCGACGTTGCCCCAGAAAGGCTCGACTTGGGTTTTAAGGATGTGCCCCTTGTTCTGGTGGGACCCACCCCAGAGGAAATGGCTCCCTCTCTATCAGCTAAATCAATCATCTCAAACTCCTATGGTTTAACAATGCCCCCCCACCCCGACCCCCAACCCCTAATCCTCTCCCACTGAGGGGACACGAGCTGAATCTGTGTGAGCTGTTGTCGGAGTTTAACCCTTTCTGCCCAGTGGCACCTCCTGGTGCATGTTCGCTGACAAGTGGGGCCTGTGGATCAGGCTGCATTCTATTAACCAGCCGCAGGAAAACCAGAGCCTTCAGCTGCTGACTTGTAAATTCCATTCCTGCGGGGAGATCAGGCCAGCATTCCAGGATTCCTTGTGGTTACTTTTGGAAACAGTGAGGATTTATCAGAGGGAGATGGGACGTTTACAGCGAAGTAGTTCCATCTGAGCACTGTATGTTTGTCATGTGCTCCACGTGAACAGCAGCCACCAGCTTTATTACCCACTTCTCTACGCCTGGGCACCAGGGCTGTTAATGTACCAGAGTAAACTAAGACAGTGAGGGCCCAGGCATTAGACTGTGAAGGCTGGTTTGGGGGCCTGGACTGGGGTCGGGTGCGGGCCTATTGCAGGGCTGGGTGTGGGGCCTGGTGCAGGGGTCGGCTGTGGGCCTGGTGCAGGGGTCGGGTGTGGGCCTGGTGCAGGGGTCGGCTGTGGGCCTGGTCTGGGGCCTGGTGCAGGGGTCGGGTGTGGTCATGGTCTTGGGGCCTGGTGCAGGGGTCGCGTGTGGGCCTGGTCTGGGGCTTGGTGCAGGGGTCGGGTGTGGGCCTGGTCTGGGGCCTGGTGCAGGGGTCGGGTGTGGGCCTGGTCTGGGGCCTGGTGCAGGGG